AAGTGCATTATATTTCTGATAGAGAGAAGGTCATTAAATAATTTAATTTTTATTAAAATTAAGATAGATAAAAATTTAGAAGAAATTCAATTAGAATTAAATAATTATATCATGCTTCAACTGATTAAGAAATTATTAAGGAAGCTGCTTAAATGGTTAAAGTTAAAAATGACAGTATGTTTTTTTAGAAATATCAAATTATTGAAGATGAAACAACACAATATGAAAGTTAAGGTATTCTATAATATTAAAATTAGAATATATTAATAAAAAAGATATGGATTCAGTAGGAATTTTAATAAAAGATCTTGAAAGTAGATCTTATCTCGATTTTTATCAAAAGTCTAATAAATCAGAAAAAGAAATTTTGGACTTAAAAATACACTTTTCATTTGAATTGTAAACTTTAAAGTCTTTAAAAGATAAACTGCATCATAAGGATTTATATACTGATAAGGATATTTAATAAATGGAGTATCTGATTAGAATTTTAGAGCTTAAACTAAATTTAGAAGATAAAATTGAATTAGATTAATAATAAGAATATTAGACTTTTAATTAAAAAGCAAATATAAATTTAGTATTAAAGAAATTAATTCATCCTGTGAGATATATAATTACTTAAACTTCAAAAAGTTTAGATTAATTTTAATTAATAAGTGGTAATGCTTGGTTGAAATATATGTTCTTTCCTTATGATTTCATAAATCAATATAGATTCAATGTTAATAGATTAGGATTACCAAGAAAGTCTATGGTAGTACGATAACAAGAACGTAGATTATCTTCTGCTTTAATGAGAAAAAAATAATAAAATATACGATCAATGAAAAGATCAATATAGGTTTATCCTATAAAATGAATATATATAATCATAAAAGTACTAATTATAATAAAGTATATATCCATGAAGTCATATTCAATTAATAAAAAGGAAAATATCTAATTATTTATATTATTTTAAATTTATTTGATTATTTCATCATTCTTATGAAACCGCAACCTAAAATATCTGAGCATCGGAATTTTTAAGTCAATCAATAATAAATTAATGTTGATGATCCATAAGATAAGACTGGCATAGAAATATTTTCTCATGAAACCTAATTGAGGAAGAGAGAGAAATTATCTCCAATATTACGATCTAATTCAGGACACTAAGAATAATTAATTTAGTAATACAATAATCCTTAATAACTTATTACACCAAAAAATGAAACAATAACAGAGAGATTATAAACATTTGGACATGTTGATTTACTAAAATAATCAAAATCATTCAGAAAACTTATTGTTTATTTCCATCAGAAAGATTTTATTAAAATGTTATTAAATCCATTCAAATTAACTTCAAATTTTACTTTAAGACATTTTAATTTGATAAATGATTTAAGTGCTTCCTATAAATTTTAATTAGGAAGAAGTCAAGAAACTTAGAAGAGCTTAATTCATCAATATATTTCTCTTATTGATATTAGAATTTAATTAAGATTGAAATTTAGAACTATAAAGACAAAATGTAAGTAGTATCTAACTCATATACATAATCAGATTCCTTTAATAGAGCCAATGAGTAATGCAAAATTTGTTTGGGATTTAATATGTTTTGCTATAAGAATATATCTAATTGTAGTGATACCAGTTATTATAGTATTTCATGGATAAAATTTTGTTGATAAATAATTAGTACCTTTGTTACTATTCTCAATTGCATTGATTTTTGATATTGTAATTAGAGCATTTACTATTACATATGATTAAGGATTACCTGTAAGGGATAGATACTTATTATTTAAAAAATAATTAAATTTTTCTACTGCCTTAGAATTTTTCAGTTTTATTTATACTATAATTATTACAATTGAAGATGATAAGATAATAGATAAATACATATTGGGAGATGGATGGCCTAAATTTTTATTGGCATTATTATATATTTAAGTAATCAATATATTAAAATTTATTGATGTATCCTAATACTCACTTAAATTAAGTAGGATGTAAACATCTATTGTTGATCTAATAAAATTGATTACTATGATTTTATTAGTCTAACATATATTCAGTTGTGTATGGATTGTATTTGGAGTGTATTCTCTTTAAAATTAAGAAGATTCTTGGTTAAATAAATATGATAATGATGATTGGTCATTTTAATTTTTGTAATCCTTTTATTTTATATGTGTAACAACATTTACAGTTGGTTATGGTGATTTAACTCCAAAAAGTAAATATTATTAATATATTAACAGATCCACCAGAATAAATATTCACTATAATCTATATGTTCTTATGTATGCTTTTATTCTCTTACACAGTTAATACTATTGGAAGTATATTAACATAAATAAAGGAGAGTAGTGAGAAGATTAAGTCAAAATTAACTGCAATTAATTAATATATGCATAATAAATCTATAAGTCCAACTTTATAATTTAAGTATTAATTAAGCTAATATAATTAGAGTAAGAGAATAATTATATTTTTATTTAAAATAAGAAATAATTTAATAAGTAAATGAATAATCTGAAATCATATAATTGCTTCCTGAAGATTTATAGCACAGTCTTAAAATAGAAGCAGCTAAATCTCTACTTAATAAATGTTCATTTTTTAGTGATAATTTTTCAAAAGATATTTTAAATTAGTTGCTTGAAGAAGTGAATTTTCAAATGTATCAACCAGGAGCAATCATTCATTCTAAAGAAGAGTTTTATATTCATATTATTGAATAAGGATAAGTAGATGTTATGTATAAAAAAGTATAGAAATTTAATATTAATAATAGAAAATAATTCAAACATTAGAAAAGTATGACTATTTTGGTCTAGAAGAATTTATAAGTTAATAAGCTAATCCAAATATTACTTTTAAAAGCACTGCATTTACAAGTGTTCTTTCTATTCCTTATTCTTATTTTCATAAGATTTTATCTCAAAATGATCTTGAAAATTAAAAATTTCATAATCTTTTAACTTCATCTTCTTATTTATAGAATTTTTGCTTTATTTGTAAAACAAAATCTCATAAAACTTAATTATGTCCTATGGTGCATTTTATTCCTAATAAAGAAGTTGTAATAAAAAAGTATTTATACAGAAAGAAATAAAAAAAGAGAGTTTCTTAAGAGAGAAAATTAAGATTGGTTTTTGTAAATTAAATAGATGATAATGAAGATAATAAATTAAAATAAATTAAGTTTATAAATACTAAAACTAATTAAAAAATGGTTGAAAATGCTGTGATAAAATTTAAAAATGAAAATTAATTTTATTTGGAATAATTATTTCCTAATATTGAATAACCAATTAGTGTAGATAGTCAAAGTGAATCTGAGAATGAAAATCCAGATGAATTAAAAGATCAAAGTTTTTCAGAATAAAATTTTAATTCAAGAAGAGCAAGTAAATAAATTCCAAATCTATCATCTAAAAATTTAATTAAATATTAAGTACTTGAAAAAATGAAAAAAGAAAGATTAAGTAAACATATCTAATAATAATAATAATCACCTCTTTTAATGGTATCTCAATATGGATAAATTAATCCATCTACTTAAATTATATCAAAATACAATCTTAAAAAGATTATTTAAGCTAAATCTCTTGAAGATGAATAATTATAATTAATAGAGGAAATTAATTTCTTTGATGAATTAAGAACTAAAATGAATAATTTATTACTATTTCCAAATAAGGAATAAGAATAGATTGAATTTTGGTATAAAAAACTTTCTAATCTTAAAGAAGATCTTGATGATATGGCTAATTTTGAATAATTAAAAAATTATGAAATTTTTAATAGATAATGGAATGTTGATTTAGTTGTAAAAAAGACATCTTTAAAACCAAGAAAGTTTAGAGGATTAAAAAAACTTAAAAGATATCTTTTATTCCCTTATCTATTTATTAATAAGTACATTGATAGAAAAGATACAAATGATCCTAATAAAACATTAGAAAAATCCAAAAGAAAAAGTATATATTATTTTTATAATTAGGACCATCCAAACCTAAAGCAATTAAAAAAACTCGTGTGACTCCTAAATAATGATATTTAAATATATATAAATAAACAAGAATATTACAATTACATTTTAGAACTTTAAATACATGATTTATTTTTTCTTATAAATTACTTACTATGTACTATTTTCAGAAAAATGTTATTAAACTTAATTATTTATGTTATAATTAAATAATAAATTCAGATGAGATAGTTAAGTAGTCCACTCACTACACTTTAAGATAATTTATAGAGTAGGAGTATGCCTAGGATACATTCTAAATAAGAATAAAGATTTTAACTCCCAACTTTGAAATCAAAAATCAATAATCTAATTGAATCTGAAGAATAAAAAACACCAGTTGGTTAATTTTTTTAAGGTTTAGTTAAAGGAAAGACAATTATGGAATCCAAAAATAAAATTGAGTTTCCAAAAACATAATAAAATTTTTATCGTCTAGTTTATAAAGCATAATATTCATTCAGACCAACAAAATTGAATCCAAGATAAGTTAGTATGGATTAACCAGCAATTTAAAAGAAATTAGGAGGTCCAACATTTGCTTATAGAACTATTCAAAGTTCTGAAGAATAACTTAGGAAACCGAATTTAGAAGTTATTGCCAGATAATAAGTAAATTATCTAAATGAATCTCATTCATAAAATGAAAGTTTAAATACTGAAATTAATTAAATATTATATGGAAAAGGACAGAAAAAAATGATATTGAAGTAAAGATTAAATCAAACAAAAAATAATAATGATACTAGCAATATAATTAAAGAGGAGAGTGAAAATTCATTTATTTGATTAATAAATTATGATCCTTGTTTTATTTTATGAATTCTTCTGTAATTAAATATAATCCATCATTTTTATTGTTAATTATCATTAAAGTGACTTACATCATTATTAAAATATTCATACATATTTTTTATTAGAATAAGAAATATTATTTCCTTTAAAATTAATTACTTCTTTCTTTAATGACATACATATATTGATATGTATATAATACATAAATCAAAATGTCTCAACAGTGCTAAGATTAGCAGAAATTGACTCAATCTGAAGAGTCTGTGTAAATAGTTAATGATTAGGATCTTTTTCTTTTTTCCTAATTGAAATCTAATAAATCTCTGAAACTACAATCTGAAATCGTATCACCAATTATAATATTTACTATTCCTTTAAGACCATCAATTTGATATTCTTCTTATAATTGTTTAACGAAATCTTCGTCATCCATCAATAATTTCTTTAATTCTGACTTCTAATCCTCTGTTATTTTATTTTCAAAGTGTAAATTAGATATCAACTTTAAGACTTCCTTAAAGAATTCAGCTTATTCATCTGCCATAAAATTAATTTAATTATATAAATATTTGATTCCTTCACTTATCATTTAAATTATAGAAAGAAGTATTGATAAAATATAATTATTAATATAAAAACATACAATTTAGATATAAGAAATGCATTGATAATCAAGTGAACAATTAAATTTCAAATAAAATTTATTATCTAATGGATATTAAATATAATATTTATTGAATATAAAAAGAATGCCTATCTATCCAACAGCACCTCTTACAAGTTCTATTCCAGCTCCATTGAGTGTTGTTTAACCAGTAAGCTATGCCCAACCTGTGACTTATGCTCAACCAGTCTAATATGTTCCATAACCAGTTTAATATGTGCCTTAACCTGTTGTTCAATAATCAGTTGTTGCTTAACCAATTCTCACCTAATCAGTTGTAGCTGCTCCATAATAAGCTCCAATTAAAGGAGAATCTAGAGTTGAATACAGAGAATATCAAAGACCTGTTGTTGAAATGGAAACAGAAACTATTTAAGTTCAAGTACCAAAAACTAAATATGTGACTGATTATTATCCAGTTGAATACTAAACTGAGTACATCCCTAGAACAGTTTATGAATAATAAACTGAATATGTACCAGTCACTAAAACAGTACCTAGAGTTGAATATGATGCTGTTGAGAGAGAAGTATAAAGAGTGGTAATTTAAAAATATTTATTTATATTAGTAATATCAACCAGTCTAGACCGTTCCTGTTTAACCTGTTGTTTAATCCATCGTTCAACCAGTTCAACAACTCACTTATTCAGTTGCTAGACCTATAGCCTAAGCTCCAGTTTATGCTCAACCAGTAGTTGCTCCAGCACTCACTTATTCAGGTGTTAGACCAGCTTATGCACCAGTATTATCAATTTATTATATATATCTTAGGTTTATCCAAGTTATCCTTAAGTTGGTGCTAGACCATAATAACCATAATAGCCAGTGCCTTCAAACAAACCATAATGAGAATGAAATATTATATCATAAGCATTTGTACAAAATATAAATCTTTATCATCAAAGTTTTAATTACTATTATTTTTTTAATATAAAAATCAATTCTATTCTAAATTATTCATCTTTTTATATTATTTTTTGAATATTATTTTCTTTATTTCTCATATAATGTGATATTTGTAAGATTAATAAAATATGAATTTAATTAGATGTAAAATAAATACTATTAGATTACTTTATTGAATAAATAATATTAAGAATATCTTGGAATAAGATATCAAGGAAAAGATAGAGTTAGTTATGTTAAATAAAAATTAAAAAATTGAAGCTATTAGGTATTTATGAAAAAAATCTTTGGATAAAATGTTTTTATGTTAATTAAACTAAAAAAAATGATTATATTTTAGGTTATAAGAAGTAAACTTACACTCAATTAAATATCGAACATATAAGATAATCTACCTTGATAAAATATCTTAATTGAATTAAATAATATTTTATAAATTACTAAAGAGAAATAAGATTTTATTTGATAAAATATAATTCTTGACTTATAAATTATATTTTTTAAGCACTATTAAGTGTTTTAGTTTATTATTTTTGGTTATTTTAATTACATATATAAATGATATTCAATTCAGATGAAATCAGTTATTTTTGTATGATATAATAAATTATTCTACATTTTTAAATTAATAAAAAAGAAGTGTAATAATTTGATAATAAGAATAGAAAATATCTAAATATTTGTTCATATCTTAGATAATAGTAAATATTGAATAATAGTTTTAAATGATGTAATTAATTATATTTGCTTAGTAAATGGTATTTGTATTTATATAATTATAAAATTAATGGAAGTTGTTTACTTAGTTTATTTAGTTTTGGCTTTATTGATTGGTGTAATAGNCTAGAACAGTTTATGAATAATAAACTGAATATGTACCAGTCACTAAAACAGTACCTAGAGTTGAATATGATGCTGTTGAGAGAGAAGTATAAAGAGTGGTAATTTAAAAATATTTATTTATATTAGTAATATCAACCAGTCTAGACCGTTCCTGTTTAACCTGTTGTTTAATCCATCGTTCAACCAGTTCAACAACTCACTTATTCAGTTGCTAGACCTATAGCCTAAGCTCCAGTTTATGCTCAACCAGTAGTTGCTCCAGCACTCACTTATTCAGGTGTTAGACCAGCTTATGCACCAGTATTATCAATTTATTATATATATCTTAGGTTTATCCAAGTTATCCTTAAGTTGGTGCTAGACCATAATAACCATAATAGCCAGTGCCTTCAAACAAACCATAATGAGAATGAAATATTATATCATAAGCATTTGTACAAAATATAAATCTTTATCATCAAAGTTTTAATTACTATTATTTTTTTAATATAAAAATCAATTCTATTCTAAATTATTCATCTTTTTATATTATTTTTTGAATATTATTTTCTTTATTTCTCATATAATGTGATATTTGTAAGATTAATAAAATATGAATTTAATTAGATGTAAAATAAATACTATTAGATTACTTTATTGAATAAATAATATTAAGAATATCTTGGAATAAGATATCAAGGAAAAGATAGAGTTAGTTATGTTAAATAAAAATTAAAAAATTGAAGCTATTAGGTATTTATGAAAAAAATCTTTGGATAAAATGTTTTTATGTTAATTAAACTAAAAAAAATGATTATATTTTAGGTTATAAGAAGTAAACTTACACTCAATTAAATATCGAACATATAAGATAATCTACCTTGATAAAATATCTTAATTGAATTAAATAATATTTTATAAATTACTAAAGAGAAATAAGATTTTATTTGATAAAATATAATTCTTGACTTATAAATTATATTTTTTAAGCACTATTAAGTGTTTTAGTTTATTATTTTTGGTTATTTTAATTACATATATAAATGATATTCAATTCAGATGAAATCAGTTATTTTTGTATGATATAATAAATTATTCTACATTTTTAAATTAATAAAAAAGAAGTGTAATAATTTGATAATAAGAATAGAAAATATCTAAATATTTGTTCATATCTTAGATAATAGTAAATATTGAATAATAGTTTTAAATGATGTAATTAATTATATTTGCTTAGTAAATGGTATTTGTATTTATATAATTATAAAATTAATGGAAGTTGTTTACTTAGTTTATTTAGTTTTGGCTTTATTGATTGGTGTAATAGATTTATATTGCATTATAATAAATATGAAGTGCATTGACAATAAATTCACATTTACGATTTTGAATTTGCTGTGTATTGATAATTCAATATTTAGTTAGTGTGCTTTTAATTTGTTTAGGATGTCTAATGGCTATAGTGAATTGCCAAGTTTCATGGTCTTTTACCTTTATTGGTTTAAGTGCTATTTGTGTATGGCAATCTTTTACTATGTATGCAACATCTACAAACAAAGTGATTGTATGGAATGCTGCTTAAAAAGTAAAAAGTAGAATTAATATATAATAGACAATGTTAGTAATGGCATATGTTGTTCCTGTTGTATTTTATTTGATTTCATTATTGGTGATGAGGAATACTGATTTTCATAAAAATTCATAGATTTGTGCAATAAAGTTTAATTCGAAAGAATTACTGTTAACAAAAGTGCTCTAATTTTTCTTCTTTTTTGCATTCCAATTAATCTTTTTGATATTTGGAATCATTGACTCTCTTAAGAGTACAAAATTCTTAGAAAAGTGATTTATATAATTGATTATAGACAAAAGAGTAGATTTACATTTTTAGAGCAATCCTATCGTGAAACTTTGATTTTTCCAATAATTACATCAGTGCTAATCCTCTCTTATTTTGTCTCTTTCAATATTCAATACTGGTTATAGGTGGAATAGATTCTCATGATAAATAATATATGTTCAATAGCAATGGAGATAAACTTAATGATATTAGTATTTTAATATGGATTTAATTCAACCCTTTTGAAAGTGAATACAATTAGAAAGGTGTATTAATTTAGATCAAATTTAGAATTGAAATACCGAAACAAGTATTGTTTCATTAGTCATTTTAGATTGTTAGATGGATCTGGATCTACCTTTTTCCATGGTACTTACAGTGAAAGTGAATTAGGAAGTATTGAATAAATATAATAAAATTATTAATAATGATTCCTATGGATACTAGTTCTTCAAAATAAATGAGTTTAAAGTAATTAGGAGATGTTATGTTTCCTCTTGGATTTATTACTTATGGTGGTCCATTAGCTCATATCAATGTGTTAAGAGAAAGATTTAAAAATTACACCACTGAAGATGAATTTCAAGAATTGTTTGCATTATGTTAAACATTACCTGGTCCAACTTCTACTTAAATGGTAATTGCAGTAGGTGCTAATCTTACACATAGTTGTTTGGGAGGATTAGTAGCATTTCTATATTTTAGTATGCCATCAGCTTTTGTAATGATGATATTAGGTCTCACTGTACCAAATTTATAAATACCATGGATATAATTATTGATAAATGGTTTTAAATATGCATCAATTGGAGTAATAATAGAAGCAGCTTATAAATTATCAAATGGAGCTATTAAAAATAAATTTCATTTATTTCTGTGGATTGTAAGTGCAATCGTAACGACTTTTTTTCCAACTCCTTCTATTGCTGTATTAATGATTGTAATTGGAGCAATTTCAAACTATGTATCAGATCGTTAAATTGGATAATAATTGTTAATTCCATAAGAAGAATAAGTTTAACACCTTTTTGATAGTTGGTTGCTAGGATATAGATCATTGGTTGGTTATGGAATTTCATTTGTTTTATTTTTCTTTTTATCTTATATTGATTGGATGCCAATAGCAGTTTGCAGTAATCTATTCAAGACTGGCAGTTTGGTTATTGGAGGAGGTCATGTAGTTTTACCTATGATTTAATTTTCTTTATCAAATTATTTGACTACAGAATAATTTTGGAATGCTTTTGCTTTAGTCTCATGTATGCCTGGACCTATGTTTAATATTGCAATTTATTTAGGAGCCTTAATAGGAGGTATTCCAATGGCTATTTTGGCAGAAATATTTATGTTTCTTCCTGGATTCTTTACAATATTTGGAATACTGCCTTATTGGAAGAAATACAGAGGATTAAGAACTATAAGAGCAGTATTATAAGGAATAGCAGCAGTTGCAGTTGGATTTATTTTAAGTGCAATAGTGCATTTGATAATAAATTCTTGTAGTTAGGCTTTTGTAGTTCCAATAGGCATAGGAATCCTCAGTTGTTTATGCCTATATAAAGGTATTCCAATACCATTTGTTATAATTGGAGGTGGATTTATTAATTTATTAACAGAATATAAATGATTTATTCTTTTTTTATATATATATAAATACTCATTATCCACATTATCTCATTATATTTAAACAAACTTCATCCTCTAATGGTTTGGAGATAACTTAAATGCCCACAGGTAAACCAGCACTATGTTCCATAGTTTCTTCTAAAACCTTATATTCAATATCCTTTTTGCCAAATAATGATTGTTCATTGTAATATTGTTCATCCTCTTAAACTGTTGTAATAGGAACTGATCCACAACTAAAATCAATCATATTCCAAATAAATGTATAACTTATTCCACTAAAACAATTTTATGCAGTATTATGTTTAACAGCAACTCCAGCAGTCACAGGACTAATGACTGCATCTAATTATAAATCATGCCAAATTTGAATCATTTAAATTTGATATGCTGTTAATCTAGTTGTAATATGAAGATTTTCATAATAAGATAATCCATGATCTCCTGCTTTCCAAATCATTAATTCTCTTTTGCGATCCTAAAATTTCAACCATTTTTAATAGATCTTTTTCCAAAGCCAACATGAATGAGTAGCCTTCTTAAAATTATCAAAATGAGAAATCCATGGTTCTCCTTTATATAATTCATAAGTTCCTTTCATTCCCCCATCTCCCAACATTACATCATAAACATGTTAGAAAACATTCTCAAAAATACTTTAATCAATCTCAAATTCTATAACTGTGTGTCCTTATGCTTTTAACTTTTCAACTGCTATATCTAAAGCTCTTTAATTTGCTTTACAAGGTAAAAGTAGATTTATCTTTCTTAAAACTCCTATCTTATATTTTTTATTATTATTATAACACTCTTTTTCATCAAATTATTTCATCACAAAATTGATATCTTTTATATTAATTGGAGCTTATTCATAATTGTTTGTTAATGCTGACATCATATTGACTAAATTAGGAAAATGCTTAGCTTTAATATATAAATCAATTCTTACACATAGGACCATAACAAGATGCAATATTCCTGATTCCATCCCATGTTGGAACTCCTTTTGCCTAACCTCTCATTATTAATCTTTTAGAACTTGGCTTATATCCATACAAACCACAAAAATGAGAAGGAATTCTAATACTTCCTCCACTATCACTTCCTAATCCCAATGGAGAACCATTTACTGCTATCAATCCACCTTCTCCTCCTGTTGAACCACCAGAAGTTCTAGTAGGGTCTTAAGGATGTATAGATCTTCCAAATAAATAATTCCAACTTTCATATGAAAATCCAAATTATGGTAAATTTGTTTTTGCAAATACTATTCCTCCTGATCTATTTATTAAATATCCTTATATTCCATCTATTTCTGATCTCTTTTAAGCATATGCTCCACATCCAAATGCTTAATATGTACCTTTTATTATAAATGTGTCTTTCACACTTACGGGAATACCAAATAAAGGCATATTCTCAATCTTATAATTTTTACTCTTTAATTCTTAATCCAATTATCTAGCTTTTTAAATTGCATCCTCAAAATTTACATCATTCAAATAACCCATTTTGAATCCTTTTTCCAATGTTACTTCTAAAAATGTTAATAATACATCCAAACATGTAAACTTTTTAGATTCGTAAAATTTATGAATTTAAGGAATAGAACTGTCTAAAATAAGAGTTTTATCTTCATTAGATAGCTTTAACTCTGTTTATATAACATACTTTGCTGTTAGAACTTTTTATTATATCTCTTATGCTACTCTTCTGTATGTTGATTCAAATGGGTTTAATTTCCTCTTCCTAAAAGATAACATCAATAAACCAACACTAGCAACTATTGATAAAGCAGTATATTTGTGTTTTGACAATAAATCTTGATTAATTTTAAACATTATTAAAATAATAAACTTTTCTAATATCATTTTTGTTTTTTATTATTCTATTTTTACATTCCACCTAATCCAAAAATACACAATATCATATATAAAGCATTATACAAAAAAACTATTGATTTTGAGAATTATAAAACAAAAATTATAATTAT